CGTCAGCGACGAAATTTAGGCCTCAGCGACGAAACATTTTCGTCACTGAATGTCTAGAATTTTGTAGTGTTTGTGGACAAGGACAAGGAAAGGGACCTCCTCCTTGGCAATGGTGGTGAGGGGGCTAGGTTCACATCTTGGCCGCATTTTGTGTCCCTGTCAACAAAGAGACCCAACATGATTTTAAGATACACGAGCTACTCCTCTCCTAACCAATTTGTGTTTTGAGATGAAATCTCATGAATATTGATATAGTATCATAACTCAAATAGGCTCAAATGAGCATGGGTCCAAAAAAAAATGAGATTCTATCAAAATTGATGAACCTAAAAGAATCATCATCTTGAGGGGATATTAAGGATTCTCTCCATGGAAAAGATCAAGAAGTGACCTAAAAAAGTTTATTAACACATGGACTACTCCATTTATCACCAATTAGTTTTGAGATGGCACCTTATTGAATATTACACTTTAAACCCCCTTATTTTTTTTCTTTCTTTTTTATAATAAAATTCCTTTAGTTAAAAGCTCCATTTCCAATTTCTAAAATAGTTTTGCTGAAAATAATATAATATACTAAACTTTCTTTGACTGAGATTTTATATCGAAAATTAATTTTTATATATAARTTGACGTATGTGTATTAGGGGTGAGTAAAGAGATTCGAAAAACCGATCTGACTGACTCGAACCGATAGGTTCTTTGATTTTTCGATTTGGTTGTTAGTCCGTCGGCGGTCATGCACCCCAAAGTTCTGATCGACCCACCAAGCAATAATATATCTATTAAATTTATTTTTTATTTTTAGTTTTTAGTTTTATTTTTATTTTTATGTTTTTAGACATTATGTTTGAAAGTTGAAACTCTCACTACATGGAAGAAGATAATTTGCACTTTAATGTAAACAATAACGAAAAAAATATATACAAGAGAAATTTGAATGGAAATATTGAAAAAGATGGGAATAAATTAAAAAAAATAATATTGTCAGTTTTTTCGACAAACCGACCAATCGAACCAACATTCAATTCAACACCAATTCTTACAGGTAAACCATCGGTTTTCGGCGTTGGTGTCGGCCAAAACCCAACCCCAATCGACAGATGCTTAGCCCATATGTGTATTATGCTTAGTCCATATGTGTATTGTTCCTTTTCATTTCATCTATTTTGTATTTTTTTTAGTACAAGTACCTGAGAGGTGGGGGAACCTCTTGGTCTTGGTTGGAGATATATGTTAATTACCGTTGAGTTATGCTCGTTTTGACCCTTCAATCTATTTTATATTAACTTTTATATTAAATACAATTTATTGACTTTTATATTAAATGCAATTTATTGACTTTTATATTAAATGCAATTTCGATGAGTAGAGCACGTGAAATTCATTGTTTTAAAATAATTAACACAACACATACGAGATTCTAGTTTTCTAAAATCAAACAAAATAACTACTGATTTCAAACATTGGAGGTCCCAACTCTTCAAATTCTAAACCCCTAGAATTTGAATTTGAATCTTTTTTTCTTTTCTTTTCTTCTTCTTCTTCTTTTTTCTTTTTTGGTTAGAAGTAATTTTGTCTTTATCTATTTAACTATGTCCCTTTAAAATTTGTACTATCTTAAAAGCCGTTTAGCATGAAAATAATTTTTAAAATAATTTTAAAGATTATTGTTTGTAACTTTTCAATAAAGTTCATGATTTATGATTTTTTTTAATCTTATTTTAGTCCAAAACTTTTTTACTTGATTTATTTTTTAACTTTCGCGTGGTTTAATTTCTAAGTTTTGCATAAAAAATTATTTTAATCATTATCATTATTTTTTTATTTAGTCGTTTAACAAGTGTGTCTGAATACATTTAAAAACTTGAATATATTATACTAAATATAACTTCAAACTTTTATCCATATAGACATCCTAAAATGAACAAAAATATAGCTACATCAAGTTTCTATTAATCATGTAAAGAAGTTCTAACAAATGCTAAAATTCATGAATCCCAAAACAAAATTGTTGGAGGCTAATTTGGACCTGCCACGTGTCACGATCAAAGAGGTAAGTCGAATTGATGTGTGGCTGAAGTTAGAATTTTTCCTAAGGTTGTTCAGGTCGGCGGTTACGGACCGAGCTAAAAGAACGAGCCGACCTTAAACGGAGTCCGTAAACGTGTTTCTTCCAAACCCGACAACACGTTTCTATAAATAGAAACCTTAGCCTTAAATGCAAGGTACGCAATCCTAGATAGACTCGGCAAGTTAGCTCGGACTAGAACTGACTTGCTCGTCGGAGTGCTAACTTTGTTTTGCAAGTCTCAAGAGTGTTATGGGAAGGTGTTAGACTGTTGGCCGTAGTTCATCCTACACTTCCGATCTACGTTACATCCGAGCTCAGCAATTTCGAGCTCCAAAAAAATATTGTAAGAGAAAAAAAAAAGAATAAACAAAAATTTATAATTATAATAGGACTTAAATTTTATAAACTTTTCTTTCTAATGTTGTACAACATTCTAAAGCATGAACCCTAGATTTGATCAGAGTAATTTTCTAAATAAAGTATTGTGAATGAGATGGAGTGAAAATAAACCGCATCAAAAAATCAGAATGTATAGTCAAGTATCGTCGTCCCAAAAAGATACAGAAGAAAGATGAGTAGAGGAAATGTCTTTGTCGATGAAATGCGATGGCCGACACTAACCTAACCAAAGAGCTAATTTAGTTGCGTCAGGTCAGATCAGCAGAGCCCATGCAAACCCATCCTCCATCCTCAACTTCCCCTTCACTGTTATAAATGCCCTCCATTTCCATCAAAAACTCGAATTTATTTTTATCTGAGTAGTTGTAAATATTACTAAAATTACCCGCCGTGGTATTCCCCCTTATTGTCTTTCTTTTTATTTCTTCAGATTTATGTTGTGTTGCTTACGTKAGTGAATTAGACTCGTTTGCTTTTGACTAAGCTGTGACCATCAGAAAGCTCGAACACGAGACCTCATGGTAAGTGATACTATAACGCTCTCATGTCCTTACTGCTATACGTCATTCCTCAAGAGATGAATTCTCCTCTTATAGTTGAATAATCCTTGATTGTCCCTTGAGGATTTACGACTTGCAAATCATACTAAATCAACAATAGCTCGTGGTTGAATCAGACACAATTCAGGTGATAAAAGCTAGCTCGTTAACAGAGATATTGAAATGACTAATGAAGTTTAATACCTGGATTACACACATTCGAATTTTGGAGGAACTTCAGCAATATTTTGTTTTCTCATRTTGGACGACAT